GCCCAGAGTAAGGTGGGCCTTCTGGGCTGCCAGCGCACATTGCCGTCTCATGTCTAGCTTTTCATCCACCAGCACCCCCAAGTCCCTCTCGGCAGGGCTGCTCTCGATCCTTTCTTCCCCCAGCCTGTATTGATACTGGGGGTTACCCCGACCCAGTTGCAGGACCTTGCACTTGGCCTTATTGAACATCATGAGGTTCACACAGCCCACCTCTCCAGCCTGTCCAGGTCTCTCTGGATGACATCCCGTCCTTGATTTCATAGAGTGTCTTCTAGTATCTATTTAACCTGAAATGTAGTTAAACAAAAGCTAAACGAACATGAATGACCATATAAGCAGTAGGTTCTGGAAAACCTTGTGACAGACACTGGAGAAATGCCCTTTAGTCTCTGGAAAGTATTTCCCAAGGTCTCCTTGGGGTGTTCTGTGTCTGCATCAGCTGATGAAAATACTGTCTATATTTCTGTAGCCACAGGTGATCAGGAATTTCTCCCACGGTGTAATTTAAACCTACTAGGCTTCTCCCTGGGCAGGGTCAAGGGAGCAGAGAGAGACTCCTGCAGGTTTAATTTTATATGACTGAACAAGATCTGCTTCATATGTGCTTTGTCAGGGCTACAAAACTTGGGTCCGTATAGAAAGTATGAGTTACGCTCAAGCTGCGCGTCTGGGTTCAACCTGGCTGTTGCCTGAATTGCAAAAGGCAGCCGTCTCTGTTACTTGGAGCTCTGGGTAGGCACAGACTTCTTGGTGACAAAGAATGGGAGCCTCCAAACGATGCAAATGGCCTGGAGTCCGGCGGTGTTAAAAGGTTCATGTAAATTTTCTCACAACCCTGCCACCATCTTTTTACCATAATATCGAATGAAAGTTTCCGTTTGTTCTGGGATCAGCTATTGCTTAGCTTACCTTGCAGCAGAGTATACTGAGGCCTCATTCATTCACATTATAGCTTATGTATTACTAGCCAGTTGGAAAATGATGACAGATTTGCATCCTGTTCTGCTCCGTTTAGGAGCTGATGTTCACCGACTTGCAATAACTGTGTATTTGCATAGTGCCTGTAACTCCAAAATATTTTAGTTTTACATGACTTACGGGTGGCCATTTCTATCAGCCTGTGAGGCGCAGTGACTTCAGGGCTGGCATGTGGCAGCCGGCTACCAGCACACACCATACAATATCGTAGTGTGTGAATACCTTATCCATATGAAACTACAAACAGATTTTGAGCAGGCAGGTATTTGATTCAGAAACCAGGCTAACCTCCCTAAGCCTCACTCTTGCTACCAGACACTCGATACCCATAAATAAACAAGCCCCGAGTTCACCTCTCTGTTGTAGAACGGTCTTCCCTCCAGCGTTGTGCTGGAGTAGGGCTTCGCTGTGTCAGACTCTTCGAGGCTCCCGCTGAGCACCCCAGCAACCACCTCTGAGCATCTGACCCTCCGAGGTGCCGCTGAGCCTCTTTGTCCCGAATTGAGCGTGTCCCCACACAATGGGGATACAGCTGTCTGCCTGCCAGAGTTAATGAGCGTACAGGGTAGGCCTTCAATCACCTTTTTTTTCAGCCATATTTCTCAAAGAGCTTTACAGAAAAAGGAGGTATTCCGCTCCCCATTTCATACAGGAGGAGGCTGGAGGCTAAAATGCAAGGAAATTAAGTAACTTGTTGAAGATTACAAAGCAGATAATCGGCAGAGGGCAGAATCAAGCTTAGCTCCCCACCCCCACATCCCTCTACCACTTTGTGCATCTGACAAGGCACAATTTAAAATCCACCACTTTTTCAACTTCCATGGTAAAGAAGTAGTTCTGCTACAGCTTTCTGTTTGACTGACTTTGGCTTTGCATCAAACCAAACCAGCTGCGCTCTTATTTTATACTTACTACCACCCTAAGGAGGTTATGTGCGGGTGCCATAGAAATTAAGTTTTAAGCTAGAATTCACCAGGATCAAATTTTTGGATACAAAACTCCCAGAAAGTCGAGAAGACTGAAACCTAGGTCCTGTAAAAAAAGGGGGGGGCGAGGGGGAAGAGGGGAGGGGGAAAGAAATCCAATGGTCACTTCTCTCCTATCGCTATATGGTCCCAACCCAATAGGAACTGCTGGCTCCAACCAGGCTGCCGGAGGTCCAAAGTACTGGAACAAAAGGACAAACATCATCTTTTTTTCCATCCACACAATGTTTTAGGTGGAAAAAGAAGGACATACCCAGGGACACCCAGATGAATAGTAGCCATAACAGTGCCAGCTTTTCCGCTCCCGAAGTTGTTTACACCCACAAAATTAATTGCAGTGCCAAACTCCAGGGAGAGTTGCGACTCCCTTAAATGTGTGGTCTTTATCGGAAAGGCCAAATGAAATAATTTTGAATGATTAGACACATTAACAGTGCCTGAGGGTATCATATACAAATAGCTGACACCTTTTAAGCACTGACGCAATGAGGACGGACAAGAACATGAGGTGAGGGTGGTGGGAGGAAAGGTCTTTTTTAGATGTATCCAAGGTAGAGCAAGTTTTATTAGTGGGCTTGAACCGTATTGTATCCCAGGAGTGAATAGCTCACACATTTGATCTGATCTTGGGCTCAGTCCAGCTCCCACTGAAGTTTAATGGGAGTTGGATCAGGCCATTGCACTCACATTTTTTCCATGCATGGAAAACTATTTCCGTTACTTTGAATTACAATACCACTGGCTTTGGATTTTACATAATAAAATAAATCTAGGCCACTGTTTATATTCCAAGAAACTGTATTCTGGGATGCCAGCAAATATATTGCCTGTTGGATTAAAAAAAAAACCCCAAACTGGACACATTGGTTTAAAAAAAACAACAGCTCCTAATTATTAAACATAATTTTTCTTCCTTGTGCTTTTCTGGAGTCCTCAAATATTTGAAGTATGAAAGGTACATATAAATTCTTCTCTGGTGGTTGAAATGGTGGAATCTGTAAAACTGCAATGCTTTATAAGAAACAGAGGTTTAATATAAAAATAATAATCTTCATGACTGGCTCTTTGCTTATTGGCATATTTTGCACATTTTAAAATTTACAGTAAAAAAACCTCCACACCCTTGGAATGTCAGTAACAAAGGGGATGTATATTAGCAAACCCTTGTATTTTGAGGACTGGCTTCTCTTGATTGTTCTGACTGCAAATGAACTCTGCAGATGCTGAGAGGCACAGGAAATGTCTTGTGCTAGAAACAGCATTTGTTCCCTGCTTTATGAATTGGATTCTACTAACATTCCAACGTGGTAAGACTGATTAGCAGACTTTGGTAATGCCTCCTGCCCTGGTACAATTTTATTACAATCTCTTATTACCAAGGACAAACACAGAAAAGACTTCCATCAGTGAACGTACGCCCACATTCTGGGAGCAAACGTGTCTGTGGTTAGCTTATGCCAGGGAAGAGCATGGCTCCTGGACTCTGAAATATGGAGCAGCAAAATAAAAGACACCCCACCAAAAGAATAAAACAAAACCACACAGGTACACAAGCAACAGAGGGAACAAAATGTCATTGAGGGGTGTTTAATGTTAAAGAGAAACTATACATCTGGGATGGTGGTGAGGAAGATTTAACAGAGCTGAACAAGGTGACCACCTGCATCCACTTCAAGGAGGAAAACCGGCAGCGGTACGAGGAGTGCTTATGCAGTCATGTGCACATGTGTGCACGCAATGCTTCTTGCTACTGACAAAATAGGAAGTATATTGCCTTTGCAAACATCCCTGGGAACCGGCAGCTTCTCCTCTACATGGACAAATGAAGTTTCAGCATGGGATTAAAAGGAAGAAAAAAAAAAAAAAAAATCTCCCTCACACACATAGCCATGTAGTCCGAGCTGGACAGACTTCCCTTTTGCTTAGGCGGTACAGAAGAGCTAGGTGCTGGCTTCCTGGGGACTCCCAGGCTGTGCACTGGTCAGCCGAAGGTCACACCTTCCTTTCTCACAATAGCAGGTTGTAAACCTTCCTCCACCACATTGTGGTCTGTGCAGCATCCAGGAACGGTTTACAGACCTCTGGATTTTAAGCCATATTCTTGTAGAGGAGCCTTGGCTAACCTGCCCTCTAATGTGACAGAGCACTTTAGAGGGACCAAGAATTGGTTCCGAATTCCCCAGTGGGTTTAGTGGGGTGGCAGGCTTTGACGCTCAGATAGCTAGGACTCACCCACGTTTGGCTGTAATTTCAGATGTGCAATAACTGCAAAATGCTGAGACTCAAGAGATGAGAAAGCAGAAAGAAGCCACCCTTCTCCTTCTCGCTGGCTTTGTTTCTGTAATGAAATAGTGTGTGCTTGTGTGCAGGGGGTTCACTTTGTCAACACCTCCTCAGCCTCTTCACCCCAACTGAAACATCCACGGGGAAATGCACCCAAAGACAAATTCCCCAGCAGAACTGCAGGAATGGCAAACCAGCCAGCCTGATGGGGGAAATTTCAAAACCAAAATGTCTCTTAAATAAGCTTCTTTAATTATTATCATCATCTGTTTATTTATACAAATATAAAATATATTTATATAGATTTATATAATATAGATTTGTTGCTTTGGTGGCTCTTTTCATTTACAGACGTACTGGTCGACGATCTCTGTGCACTTTTTACACTTGACGTAACAGCACCAATGGAACTTGCAGTGGCAACGCTCCACCTGGACGCTCTTGAACTGGTCATAACCCCGCCCGCAGCACATCAGCTCGCACCCATCCATGCCCTCTGAGGTCTTGTTGCACAGTCGGCCCTGAGTGCCCAGCGAGCCAGTGGTCTCATTGCGCAGGCAATAGTCCGGGCTGGGGTCGACATAGACCAGGTCCTCTTGCGTCGGCATGTTGAAACGGTTGTTCACCAGCTCCAGCTTGCCCTTCCGGCTGATCCTCATGGCAGCAGCGCTGTCATACTTCTCCTTCAGCAGGTCGCCCACCTTGCGGAAGTCAGCCAGCTGCAGCCAGCAGGTCTTGAGGCTGCAGGAGCCTGACACAACGGGGCACCTCCCAGCGCC